TAGCTTTATATCAAGAAGTAATCATATATATAGTTTGATAAACAAACATCCTAGCCCGGTACAGGTCAAGTCCCTAAGTCCACAAATCCCTCTTCAGACCCATGAAGCCACACACAATGATGCAGAATGCAGGAAGATCACAGGCCTGTGGGTGCAAAGTCCCGCGGATCTAACGGTGGTGGCTCTGGCAGTTCCACAAGTGACTCAACAGGAGGAAGGTGAAGGCCGAGAGTGGCCTGCCTCCAGCGAGCCACTTATCTCGGCGGCACCTCCAAATGAGGTCATCAAGTTGTGACCTGATCGACAGACTAAACTCCACTATTCAAGTTGACACGAAATTATGTAACTACCACAAGTGTATTATTTTTAGTGCAGCCTACCACTATTTATTGACTAGACAATTTAATCTATTAATATTCACTGCAATAAATTATCAAGAGAGAAGAATTCAAACATTTTGTTAAACATTCCCCACCTCCTCTCCTGGTGAGGTTATTCTCTAACTTCAAAGCGGAGTTCTTTTTAGGAATACATTATTTCTGGTAATTTTTAATACCAAATCACTTAGATTCCCTTTAACACATAAAAGTTCTCTTATCCATATGAATTATCTCCATTTTATTTTTGTTATTGTCAGTTACAATTGTGTGGCCCACATCCCCCATCTCATTGTAAATTTATTATGTGCATTCCGGTGGTTTAGTGTCAACATTTTGTGTGGCTGGGCTGGTCATGTCTCCTTTCTAGAGAATTCCCTTTAGTATTTCTTGCAGAGCTGGTATGGTGGCTACAAAGTCCCTTAATTTGTTTATCTGGGAAAATCTCTTAAATGATAATTTTGCTAGATATATTATTTCTGGTTGATACAAGGGCCACTCCCTCAAAAAAACACACAATTTTTTTCAAAGCTATGTATTAATTTTTTTTTATTTTACAAAACGTTATCACCTTCAAAGTACTCTCCATTACACTTAGTACATTTTTCAAATCTGCGATCCCATTCTTGCAAACATTTTTTACACTCATCTGTTTGGATGGCTGACAGCACCTCCTTTTTTACTTCGCCCCTTTCATGTCTTCAGTTCGCTGTCCTTTCATGTCCCTCTGCATTTGCGCAAACCAAAAGAAGTCACACAGAGTGAGGTCAAGGTGTGTAAGGTGCATGGGGCAAGAGAGGCATGTTGGTTTTATTTTTTTTTGCCCAAAACTGGCACACTGAGATGGCTGCATGATTAGACGCACTGTCTCGGTGGTAAACAGTCCCGTCTGCCACAAATCAGGCCTTTTTTGTCGCTCAGTGCTATGTGATCCTTTCAGAACCTCTAAATAGAAAGCTTGATTAACAGTCTGACCTGGTGGAATGAACGCCAAAGACACTACCAGTCCACATTTTTGTCTTTGGGAGTTGATGGACGTCCAGTTTGACATCAGTGGGCATTTCACCTTTTTAGAAATGAGAAAGACACTTGTACACTTAAGTCTTTCCCATAGCTTTGGCCTTATAAACTGTGCTCAACATCACAAGTTTCTGAAGGATTTTTCCTGAGCAGGAAACAGAATTTCACAGCTGCACACCATTCTCTTACATCGACCATCAGGAAAAATGAGGTTTGATAAAAACTGCTTCTATGAAAAAATTCATTGTGACCAGAGCAACACCACTGGGGACACTAACTCAGAGCGAGTTGTTCTGTGCTCGCCTAGCGGGAAAAATGTGTACTACCAAAAGTTCTGCTTTTCCCAGCGCAATTCCAGTATTTGGGGGGCACCCCATAGTTATTCTTTCAGGCTTTGTATATGTCTTTCCCATCCCGTCTTGCCTGCGTAGTTGTTAGTGCACAACAGCACTTAATCTAATTGATACTCCTTTGTAAGTGATGTTTCCCATGGCTCATGCTGCTCTCTAAAGTCTATCATCTTTTACTTGGAAAACTTGATGTTTTCTTCTTCTGTTTTTTTTCTTGTTTTTTCGCTGTTATGGAGTTCATTGAGTATCTTGGATGATTATCTCATATTCCATTATTTGGGGAATTTTCTGTGATTATTTCTTCAAAAGCTATCTTCCAGACTTCATTTCCTTGATTCCCTTTCTGGAATTCCTATTATGCAGATATCATTTCTTTTCGTGTTGTTCCACAGAACCCTTATACCCTGTTCATTTTTTCCACTTGTTCTTTAAACTGAGTAATCTGTCTTCTAGTTCACTCGCTCTTCCTTCGAGGGTTTGATTCTGCTTGTGTATTCTTCTAAGGAGCTTTTTATTTGTTTATTATTAAGCTTCAGCACTTCAAGTTGCTTTTAAGGTCTCTATCTCCTTATTAAATTCCCTGTCTTGTTCTTTTTCTGAATTCTTATAAATTTTTTTCCTTTATCCCATCCAGAAACCTTAACACTAGTTTTTGGATGTCTGTTGAGAATTTCATAGCAGGAAGTGCCTGAAATGTTAGGTTAAACTTCCATTGATGAGTAAACAGGAAGCAGCCACTGTCCTAACGACTCACTAACTTCCCTATATTCCACAATTCCTTCCAAAAGCTTGATCTTTCTGCTCATTGGTGCTAAGCAATACAAATGTGTTCTGAGAGGCTACCTCCCTTCTGCTGGTACTGCTGAAACTGCAGTCCAAATGGAAAATAACCTATTTATGGCTTCCCTTGATCTCTGACCCCGCCGCCCGTGTGGCACACAGATTTGGAGAAACTGGACAGCTGGGTGACACTGGGGTCCCTCTGGTTTGGGGAACTCCACACCCCTCTGTTACTACCCAAGGACTGTCGTGAGGGGGTTGCTGTCCCCAGCCACAGCCTGAGCACCAGTCTCCAAAGCAGCATGGGCCCTGAAGGGAGAATTGGCAAACGACCAAGGACAGTTCGTTAGCTTACAGTGCGATCTTCACTAAGCACCCAAGGCAAATGCAGTGCCAAGCAACTGAAGGCACACAGGCCCCCTCCCGTTGGAACATAATTTAGAGATGGTCACGTAAGGTGGCAGGCGCCCTGATGGCGGAGTGATTATGTGTTGGGCTGCTAACCTCAGGTCAGCAGTTTGAAACCATTAGCTTTCGACACCTGTGAAGTCAGTCTCGGAAATCCATTGGGACAGTTCTACTCTGCCCTATAGGGTCGCTCTGAGTTAGGATGGACTCGATGGCACTGAACTGGGTTTGAGTTTTGAGCTTCTGTGGGAGAATGTGGCAGTGTGTGTCAGGGAACTTACAGCCTTGGAAATTCTGTGTTCTCCTCTGTCCTGCAGGTGTGTGGTGTGTGTGGTGTGCGCACATGTGGGAGGTTGCAATCCAAAGGCCAGGTTTGGCTTTTCTTGTGCTAGCTGCACTGTGGCTTTTCAGTTCCACTCATGAAAGGCTTGCCTTTCTAGCTCCAGGAAGTGGCACAGAAGGGGCTCACTTAGCCCAGCACACACACACCTAACCCACCCATGCCAGTTCCTGCACTGCTGCTGGTGTGTCTGTTTCAGCACCCCAAAGGGGGTCTCAAAGCTGCCCAGGGCTAGGCTGGATGGGTCCGGTTCGGACTGAGGTGACCCTGATGCTGCTGGCTCAGTAGTAATGGAGGCCCCCAAAGGTTTCTGTTGATCCCATCTGAACCCAGGCTAAGAGCACTCTCAAGTGGTGTGGCCTCAGGAAAACATGGATGACACCAGGGCGGCAGGCTATCCCTTCTCTCCCCACAGGGCCCATGTGTGTGTAAGTCTTCCAGGCTGGAGGTGGGCAAGCCGAGGAAATAAGGCACAGAAGAGATCGATTTTACAGATTTATTTTTTTAAAAACAAAAAGGTTTACAAAAGTCCTTCATTTCCAACCCTGCCTGGGGTATGGGTGGGGAATAGAACAAGCTGAGAAAGGTACCCACTCCCTTCCTGGGACGAATCCTACCCTCCCCCCAGGAGCTTGCAAAGGGCAGGGTGAGTTAGAGGCAAGCCCTAGCTCCTCCTACCCTGCTGCCTCAGGTAGCTCAAACTGCTGCTAGGAAGTCTAAAATTTAGAGCAAAGAGTGTGGGAGTGGGAGGCCAGAGGCTGCCTTGGGCATGTCAATGCCAACGCGAGCTCTTGCGTCCCCACACTGGGCACACAGGGTGAGCTGGCGGACTGGGTAGTTCATGGCCCAGTCCATGGAAGCTTCCTTTTTGCTGTTGGTGAGATAGCAGGGGTGTGTGTGGGAGGGGTGTGTGTGGGGGTGTTTAGGAAGGTCTTGACAAGTTTGGAAATGCTCCTAAACATTGTCTGTCTGAGCGGCCTCTGGCACTGAGACGGCTAGCTCTCAGCTCTATTCCCCACCACCCTGAGGCCGAGCGGAGCCCAGGACAAAGCACTAAGTGGCTGTTTGCTACAAAACACCTGGAGAGGCCAGAGGATGGCTCTCGCCGTCAGTCCGTCCAGGCCCCACAGTTACACAGTCATACAGCGTTAAGGCGTCTGTGCCAGCAGGCATGGCCAAGCTGGGCGCAGCTTCTCTCTCTCCACCTGCAGAGGGTGTAGTAGGGGAACCCCGGCTGCTTCAGAAACAGGCTGAAGGGGGAGAAGCTGGCAACGGAAGAGTTAACCAGGTCTGGAGAGAGCGAGGGAGGAAGGCAGGCAAGGGCTTTCAAGGCCTCTATCCAGGCCTGCTGGCTGCCCTTGGAAGAACCCAACAGAGGTTGGAGAGCCCTGACCACATACCCCCTTGAAAATGGGGGACACAGGGAGGGGAGGAGAGTGGGGCTAAAGGACTGGGACTTTGGAGGAAGCCAGTGCTATCAATATTTACAAGCATAAAGCCCCATCTTCTGTGCCACCTCCCTCTGCCCCTCCCACTTACATGAAAGGCCCCTGAGAGCCACTGAGGCAGAGCCAAGACCTCCTCACCAGCCAGGTCCAGAGAGCCCTGCCCTCTGATGGCCCCTTGCTGGGCCCTCTGGAATGTCTGTCTGGCCCCGGGCCAGGGCCAGCGCAGAGGCCCTAGGAGTCCTTGAGCATGCTGATGCGGGCGTAGATCTTCAGGGCGGGCCCCAGCTTGATGTTCATGGCACTCATCAGGTGGTCCTCCTTGAGCAGCAGCAGGGCTTGCCCATCGATCTCCTGGGCACGGAATTCCTCGGCAATCTCCTGGCAGCCTGAGGGGCGGGCACCACCACACAGAGTCAGTTACCAGTCACTCTGGGCAACTCGAGATCCCTCCTCTCATTTCAGCCACAAACCGCCCATGGCAGGTCTCACTACTTATTTTACTGCCAGAGGCTTCCCCAGGGGAGTAGCCTTCAAAATCCCCCAGTGATCCATGCCTCCTGGCCTGACCCCTCCCCAGTGAGCTGGGCTGACCTGGAAACCAACCAAGGAGCCCTGGTGGTGCCGTGGTTAAGTGTTAGGTGGCTAACTGAAAGGTGGGTGGATAGCAGCCATCCATCCCCGGAGAACGCCTGGGCGGGCAGCTTGCTTTCCTAGATGGCTGGCTTGGGAACCCTGCGGGGCACGGGGGTTGCTGTGAGGGGGATTCACTCGGGGGCAGTGGGCTTTTTGAAAGGCTACAGGTGGTGCGGGATTGACAGCAGGTAGTTGGCATCATGTATTTTGGAGAACGCGTGAGAGGTCACTCCCCTGGAGATACCAGCACGTAGCCAGCCCCACCTCGGCGCATCTCCTCCAGCGCTTACCCTGCAGATAGATGCTGTGGCTCCCCCGTGACATCTGGCCTGAGAATTCACAAAAGACCCCAAGCCAGAATGGCCCAGCCCAGCGGCTCCAAATTCCTGACCCCCAGAACTCCTAACATAATAAAGGACCACTGAGTTTGGGGGCAGTTTGTTTCACAGAAATTGATAATGAATACAGATTGTGGTGCCTTGAAGAGGGGGGGCTGTTTTAACAAAGCCCTGCAAGTGTGGGCAAGGCCTTGGGACAAGGCAGTGGGAGGAAGTTGGCAGGATGGGGAGCAGAATGAGAGACGAAGGAAACTGCTGTGCTACTGGTCATGGGAGGAAACGGTGGTCCGTCCTTGTTTTGAAATAGCAGCAAATGGAGCCACCCTGTTGGGAGGGTCAGTGAACAAAACAGCTAAGGAACCGAGTGCACTGAGCACAACCAGCACCCACCTGGCAGTGAGGCTGGCATGTCACTATGCTGCTGAAAGGTTTCAGCGGCGCTTCCGGATGGAGACAGACGAGGAAGAAATGCCTGGTGACCTGTTGATGAAAGCCCTATGGACCTTGGCGGTCCACTCCTGTTGAGCATGGGCTGGGGGCATCAACGACGGCAGTGACTGAAGTGACCTAGCTAAGGCAGGCGTTGGGCAGAGTTGAAGGAGCTGCTCAGAAGAAAGAGCAGAGAGCAGGAGCGCAAAGGCAAACTGGTGGATGCACAGGGGCAGGATTTGCTGACTGGGAAATCCCTAGCCTCTCCAGATGGCAAATGCAAGGGTTCCTAAGAGAAGAGCAACAGAAACCACGGTCTCAGAGGCACCTGAGGGTGTTCTTGTGTTGGGATCTAGAAGTTTTAGGGGAGGCCTCAGTCAGCTTGGGGCTCTTGAAGGAATTCATGGGTGTGTCCTGCAGCCACTCTTGTAGACTCTTGAAGGCACTGCACATCAGCCTTGGAAGCCCACGTGCAGGAGGCTTATCTGAACATTGAGGGTGTGATTATCTTCTAGCAGAGTGAGTCCCACTAAGACCCTTAGACGATTTTAAGAAGCCCACTAGCAAAAAGACCCCATGAGCCTGGACTGGAGGGCTCAGAGGAACACAAAAGCAGCAGCAGGAAATCGGCTGGGAAAAGGACTGTTAAAAATTCAAGTGATGCAATGGCTTAAGTGCTCTGCTGCAAACCAGAAAGTCGATGGTTTGAGCCAACAAGCCAGCCCACTGGGGAGCGTTGTGGCAGTCTGTTCCTGTGAGGATTACAGCTGCGGGCAGTTAGACTCTCTACAGGTGCACGGTATTAGCTCGACAGCAGGTGTTTTGTGTTTTTTTTGGTTCAGAGAGGGAAAAGAATCCCTCCCCAACCGAGTCTTCACAAGGATATGGCTGACGGGGCCTGAGCCCTATCAGTGCTGGTATGGACTCCTGACTGCACTGCGCACTCCGCCCTCCCCACCCCCCGCCAGGGTTGGATGGGCATGCCCTAATGGCCACGCCCACCGTTCCTCCCCAGGCGGGCTTTGTGGAGTGCTGAAGGCACAGGATGCCTTATCAGTATGAAAGGACTCACACGCGTGAAACTGCACCCAAGGAGGCACATCTGTGCTTGTTTTTCATGGGAAACTATGGTAGCCCAGCTCCACGATGGCACTCAATAATCCTTTCTTTCTGGTCTTCCTGTCTTCGAAGTCCTCTCACACGGTCCGTGTGACCAAAGGATACTGCGAGGGGGTAGTCCAGGACTTCCCGGGGTCTGTCATAAAGGCTACAGTGGTCTGTCTTGCTCTCTCGGATCACTTGCTACTCCATCATGAGGAAAGACCCCCACCCTGGAAAAGTCTCTGGCCAGCCGTTAACCCTACTGGGCACTTACATGCTGCACCCTGGCAGTAAATCCAACCGCCACAGAAAGCCTCAGCCCTGCTGGCATCTGGACCTCAGAAGAGCCAGGAGCAAGACTGCCCGGCTAAGCTAAGGACTCCCAAGTCCCTCACCGGACACCGGGCAATGACAAACCAGGAGTGCCATTTTCCGTCAGCTGCAGTGGAGAATGAATGCCCTGGGGTTAAGTGGCAGAGCCAGCATCTGAATCCAGTTCCTTCTAATTCAGAAGTCTGTGTTTTGAGCTACACGCCCTCCTCCAGTCTCTAACAGGCCCGTGGCTGCCATCAACACCTGGCCTGCCAGTGGATGGGTCGGGCTGGCAGAAACCAACAGTGGAGAAGCTCTCCTGGGCTGGGTCCCTGCTTGCCTTTCCCAGCTCATTCTCCATCCCAGCGCTCCCCTCTCCACCTGCTCCCGCCCCGCAGTCCTGTCATGGCCCTGCCCCTCATTCTCATGCCTCCGCTCAAGTGGCTTCCTCTGCTGGGTTCTCCACCTGGAAAACGAGCCTGGCCTGTCCCAGCTTCAGAAACCTTATGGAACGGTTCTCCGCCCCCACGGGGCCAGTATGAGTCAGAAGCCCACTTGACAGCAGTGGATGACCTGTCTTGTCCTCATCCTTCAGGGTGTCTCTGTCCCACTTTAAACAAAGGTTTCGGAGACTATTACATCTTCATGGAAGCAAAGGGCCTCCTCTTGCTCCTGTCTTCTGGCGCCCCCCTCACTCCCCGGCGGTTCTGCCTAGTCCCATGGGGTTTGCTGCGCGTCTAGGGAAATCATCAGCTCTTCCACTGGTACAGCCACTGGCTGGACGTGAACTGCCCGAGTCCGTCACCATGAGGGCAGTACCCGCCTATGGCACCGCGGCTACAAAGTGTTCTCTACAGCCTGGGTTCAGGGTGGGCAGGCAGCCTTACCTTAATCATCTTGGCACCCAAGTCCCTGCACCTGAGGCTACGTCACTATTCCTCTCTGTGGAGGGAGGTGAGGTCTTTCACTCCCCTCCTTCCTACTCTGCAAGCCGGCATAGCGCACCCTCACCTGGCAGAGAGCGGATGAATTCATAGACGTCTTCTACGTTCCATTTGGTGGGCTCACTTGGCAGGAAGTGGTGCCCCATGCCCACCAGGTCCCGCATGTGCATGTCAGGGAGCTCCAGGTCTCGCTGGCTTTGCCGCCGTCGGGAGGTGGATGAGCTGGCTGAGATGGGTGACAGGGGCTCCTCGTAGCTTGAGTTATCTGAGCAACGGCTGGAGTCTTCCTGGCTGTGTGTTAGCTGCAACGCAGCCGTAACGGAAAGGGGTACAGTGCCTGTTGGCTGGGGAAAGAGAGAAACATCCTTCAGGATGGGGGGGTACTGTTCCCAGCAGTGGGGCTGGCCTTTGCTACTTGGTCCTGTCTGTGTTCCAAGATCAAAGAGCATCTTCTCTGCTGTCTCCTCCCCAGCCCTAAGCAGAGCGACCCCAACTGGTGTGGTAGTACGGACCACACCGTATCGCAATCATCGCGCCATCCATCCGTCTTTTCTTTCAGATGGGGATTTTAACTAGGGCTCTGTGAATCACCGAAAAACAGCAGGTAAAACGTCACATGCGCGCATGTTTTGGTTCACTAATTTCATCAGACACTAACCATGCTCCCACCACATACCATATATACGCGAGTATAAGCCAACCCGATTATCAGCCAAGGCACCTAATTTTACCACAAAAACTGCATTAAAAATGTGCTGAAAAACTTGGCTTACACACGAGTATATATGGTAAAACACCTAGACATACAGGCTCGTGAACCATTACATGAGGCTGTGAGTAACTTTAGGGCAAAACCAAGTCCTTGTAGCCTCAGTGGCCAGCAGCGCCTAGCACAGAACCGGCAGTAGCCACTGTTGTGTGGCTGAGTAGCCACAGCCTGGTGGAGGCCTTCCAGAGCTCGTGGCTCTAATGCTCAAGGAGGAGGAGAGCAGGGGAGATAAAAGGTGTAGGCCTCAGAAGTCAGGGCAGGGAAACTGGAACATGAGGGGTGATGCTGGGGCAGGGCCAGGGACTCGAGAATGTTATCAGCATTCATGGATCCAGATGAGGCAGGCAGACCATCAAGAGCCTGAGGAAGGTGCCATCTGACGGCGCCACAACTAGAGCCTGGTAGTGTGTATAGAAAGCAGGGTGAAAAGTGGATGTGGCTGTCTAGGTTTGTGCTGCGGATCTAAGTAGTTGACGGGGAGCTCTCTCACCTGCTTCTTGGTATCCTTGGCGAGTGTTGGCAGACTGGCTTTGCTGGCCCGACGGCGGTTGTGGGTTGTGGCTCCTGCCTTCTGTAGTTTGCTCCGGTCTGAGTGGAAAAGTCCCACTCGTTTGGTGCATCCCACATTGTACCTATCAAGATATAAGGGACAAGAGAGGTCAGAGCCATTGGGAAGGCTTATAGACCCAAACCAGAGTAAGAGCAGCCAAACTAGTTGGTGAAATTCGAGTCCATCTGTTGTTTAATGCAGCAACCCCATGCACGATAGAACACAACACTGCCCGGTCCTGGGTCATCCACACAATTGTTGCTATGGTGTGAGCTCATTGTTACAGCCACTGTGTGAACTTAGCTGGTTGTACCGACACCCTATTTTACCAAACACGATGTCGTGCTCCAGGGACGGGTCCCTCATGCTAACATGTCCAACGAATGTGAGCTGAAGTCGTGACGTTCTTCTAAAGGCCATTCTGGTTGGACTTTTCCCAACACCGATTAGCTCGTTCTGGTGTATTTAATATTCTTCAACACCACGATTCAAAGGCATTCATTCTCCTTTGGGTTTCCTTCTTTGCTTAGCGTTTGCATGCATGTGTAGTGATTAAAGATGACATGGCTTAGGTTTGGCACACTTTAGTCTTCCAAGTGACATCCTTGCTCTTCAACACTTTTTTGCAGCCCATTTGCCCAAATGCTGCAATTACTGCTGAAGTCTGCTCAGCAAAGTTCACTTGTGAAATGAATGAGACTGTTCGATATTTCAATTCTATTGGGTCACTTTTCTTTGCAATGGGCACAAATGCAGATCTCTTGGTCTCTCAAATTACTTGGCATCGAAAAGTGGACGCCTCTAGTTGTTGAAACATTTCAATTGGCAGTCCATCAATTCCTGGGCTGATGTCTTCAGCGCAGTTTGGATTTCTTCTTCAATTCTAAAGCAGATGCTACTTCCTGAGTCGACTGAATGCCATTCAATTCTTTTGGTACAGCGATCGTGTATTTCCCCGCACCTCTTTTCCAGTATGCTGCATCGTTCCATTGTTGCCCATAGAATCCTTTAATACTGCAACTTGGTGCTTGGATTTTTACTTCGGTTCTGTCAGCTTGTGAAGGATGCTCACATGCGCTCCCCTTTTGGCTTTCTAATTACAGGTCCTTGTACATTTCCTCATCATACTTTCCTTTCCTAAGCTGCCCTGTGAAGTCTTCTGATCAACTCTCTTATTTCAACATTTATTCCTTCATTTTTATCTAGTCTACATTCATAAGAAAGTTTTAAAATTTCTCCTGACATCCATTTTGTTTTTCCTTTCCGTCTCAATGGTCTTTCGCTTTGTGCATGATGTGCTTAATGCCAACCCACAACCTGTGTAGCAGTCTTCAGTCACTAATGTTCCCTCATTCAGTCGAATCTATCCCTAAGATGGTCTCGAAATCCAGGTGGGATACACTCAAGACCTTTGGTTTTTCTAGACTTGACTTTCGTTCAGCTGCAGCTTGAATTTGTGTATGAATAACTGACCGTTTGTTCTGCAGCCTGGCCCTGGCCCTTGCTCTGACCGATACTGAGCTTCTCAGTCATCTCTTTCCACATATGTAGTTGATTTGATTCCTCAATATTTCATCCAGTGAGTTCCATGTATATAATCATTTATATTGTAACAAGAAACGGCAATGAAGAAACTGTTGGTCCTGTTAAAATTCTTTCCCCCCCCACCCTTTTTTTAAATCGTTTTATTAGGGGCTCATATAACTCTTATCACAATCCACACATACATCAATTGTGTAAAGCACATTTGTACATTCATTGCCCTCATCATTCTCAAAACATTTGTTTTCCACTTAAGCCCCAGGCATCAGGTCCTCCGTCTTGTGAAATTCTATCTTGAACAATCTCTAGCATTTCTATCACCAAGCCTATAATTTTAATTCTGATCCTTCTTGTCTTTAACTTTCAAATTCCAGTCACCAGTAATTATCAATGCATCTTAACAATTTCAGGCTGTGAAGATTGGTAAATCCTTCCATTTCTTTTCCTTGACATCAGTGGTTGGTGTGTAATGGTCATATTATAACTGGTTTTCCTGTAAGCCGTGTAGATAGCTAGCACCCTATCACTTAAAGTGGTGTGCTCCAGGATAGATCTTTGAGATGTTCTTTACGGTGTCCACTTGGTTCAAATCCTAACTCCAACCTTGACTATACTTTAGGTGTGTGATTTGGGGCAAATTACTTAACCTCTGAGTCTGTTTACTTTATCTGGAGTTGGGGATACCACCGCTCACACTCTATTCTCTGACAATAACATGAGATAATGTTATTATCTGGTCAGAACTCCAGGTCGACATTTTCTAATAAACGTTATAGGTACCAGTAAGCTAGGGTCCATGGGACATGCTGGACAGGAGTCCTGTCTATCTTCAGCACAGTCTTCGGGGAAGGAGGGCTGAGGCTAGAGCACCTGCACTGTCCACAACCTGTTACAGCAGAGCGGTTTCGAGCCCGGAGAAACCAGTTCTTCTGTTGAGAACTCAAGGCTCAGTACAAAGTCCACAGGATCCAAAGACCACTAGTCTAAATCTACAACTTAGTAGATAAGCCCTGGGTACAATCACTTATCCTTTGTGCCCCCGTTTCCTAACTGGTATAGAGGGGGCAGTAATCACAGCCGCCTCACAGGGTTCTGTTGAAGTTTTGATGAGAGAATGCTATCAATTGACTAGCACACAGCAGGCTCTCAATCAACGACAGTCAATTTGATTACTGCCACTCTACGACTAAGCTGAGGTGAATGCTCACAGAGGAGCATGTGTGAATAGGGCAGTGGCTCTGGGCAGAGCTGCCAATGGAGGGCTCACCCTAGGGAGATGGCAGGCAGGAGAAGGGAATGGGGGCTTGATTTCTTTGGACTCTGTGCTGCTCTCTGTTATGAACTGGATGTCAGTGCTTGATTAATCATGACATGCTGCTGGATGAGCCACACCCTCGGCCTCTCAATGGAGGGAGATGAGACACAGCAGCGGGACCCAAAGGCACAGTCCTCTGAAGGACAGGAAGGGACTGGGCACCGATCACTCACCTTTTTGCACAAGCCATGGAACAGAAACGCTTCGAACGCTTGAACTTGTAGGCAAAATCCACCCGGCCACAGAGCTCACATTTGAGTTTGAGGGGAGTACCCTCCTCTTTGGATTCTGAAAGGTATAGAAATAGGTACGTGTGGGCAAATGAGCAATTCCTACAGGATGTAGTCTCCTGCCCTGTCCACGGTGTGCAGCCTCTTACACATGCTCCCACAGCTATGACACATGGTGGCAGTCTAACTTGGAAACATGGGGCTGCTTTTGTCACTGTCTTTGGAAAGTAGCCAAGGAGGGCTAGCAAGGCCTCTTGGGCATTTGACAACTGTCTCTCAAAGAGACGGTGAATAGCACCTCTCTTTATGACCACGAGAAAACGCAGCGGCTCCTAGCAAACTCTCCAGATGCTGCCACAGCCCATCTGGAGCCACCCAACCCCCACCCCCGATCCAGCTAGTTGGCTGCTGACTTGGATATTAGAACCCAGGATCCATGACCTGTACAGTCCCCACTTATCAGTGGTTCATCTGTAATGAGCAGTCCCTTGTTTGGCCCGTTGTCCTGAGTGCAGGTACCTGCAGCAGTCAAAAGGTGCCCCCTGCTTGGGGCCATGCCTACATGGCACAGCCCGAACTTTCCAGGTAACCAGCTAGGAAAAGCAGCTCTAGGAATCAGAGTGGGGAGAGGCAGGTGACAAGTGACCCCGAATTCTCCCATCCCTCTTTCCTAGGGATCCAGGCTGAGAAGGGATTGATGGAGTGTTTGCAAGACTAACAGGCTGCCACATGCCCTGGCTCCAATTCTCCAAGAACACTGGGCCCGGTCTGTCTACTTGCAGCAGCCACAGGTCAGGAGGCCTGAGGCCCACCTTGCAAATAGGGCTCCTCCATCTCAGAGTCCGTGGTGGTGGTGTGATCCTGCTGTGCAAGTTTCTCAGGCAAGAGCCCCTGTGCATACTTCTTCTTGAGGTTTCCCACCAGCAGGGACGAGCGTCCCACCTAGAAGACAGGTGACACGGAGGCCAAGAGGGTTAGGTGGAAGATGCTTCCCTGCTCTCCAGTCTCATCAAAAGCACACACATTTAACATATCCAGGTGCACAGCGGACAGTCCTCCACAGCCACCCCCACAATCCGCTTCTGAGGGGGCTTCTCACAGCCCTGTTTGCTGTTAAGTTCATGTGGCAGAATCCAGGGCCAATGGAGGATTTAGAAGGCTACAAAACATCTCTTCTTCCAAGTGTCCAAGTGCAGAGGTGGCGGCGGAGGGCTGGTCTCCACGACTCCTAGATGGAGTGCTAGGGCCCAGTGCTCACTAGTCACCAGGCAGGGACACTGCTGAGCCAATGCAGGGGAGCTTGGGCAGCACCCACATTCTGACTTCTTGCTGTCAGCCCCTTGCTACTGTCCAGTGAAGGGGTCTAGCAGACACCAACGAGAACAGGAAGGGCTGATTCTGGGGCTCTTTGTGGGTGAAAGGACCCCCGACTGGCTTACAAACTCACGTGGCCCTGCCTTTGCTCAGGCCTCGTGGTGCCGGCTGTGCTAGAAACTCTGGGGCAATGCTAGACCACTACTCAGCTGCAGCCATTCAGTGCAGCCATTAGTCAGTTTCCCAGTTGCTCTGGGAGGCCACAGGGAAGTCCTCGTCCACTGAGGGAAGGGCTGTGACAATGGCCAAGGCGCCCCGGGTGGATTTCTTTGCTGTTAGTCTCGACTGACTTCCAGGGGCTGGGGATAAGAAAGTAGGCCTCTTATTGCACTGGGGAAGGAGTTATTCAAGCTCAGCCTCTGCCGACTATTCTGGCCAAAGAGCAAAAGGCAGGCGGCAGCCCATGAAGATGAGGCATCTCTCACAGCAGGTCCTTTTTGTCAGGAGAGAGACCAGTGAGCCACTGGGCCTGGGACCTGCCACACAGCCGTCCTACACCCCTTCATAGGACAGATACGAGCCAGCTCTGGGGGCTTTGTTCTATTAAGTCATTGTCTTGATTCCTTGGTATCTCTCTTTGGTCTTATGCCTCAAATGGCAGCATTAATCAGGCCTCTCAAAACTGTCCACTCCCCTGACTAGGCCCTGGCCCCAGAAGCCGCTTCAGGTTACAACCGTGCTCCTGATCCTCATGTCATAGACAGTCAGGCAATCTGGTACTAGGCAGGTCCTTTTTGTTCCATAACTATTCGACCCAGAGGGAGAATTAATGAGACCATCAAATCCCACTTCAAGGAGCGTTTCATCTCTCACCAAACACCCCAACTCAAGCTTCCTGAGAAACTCCTCAACAAGGGGCCTTGCCAATTATTCCTCCCACCGACCCCTTCTGGCCCTCACTTAGGGAAATACTCAGTCCTACACAATCACTCTGACATTCACTGGGGAAAGTTAACAGGGAAAGCTAAAATATTCACATTTTCAGTAATATTGCATGGAAATGAAAAAAAAAATCTAATACACATCCAAAATATACTTAAGGAAAAAAAAAGGGGAAAAGAAGTAGTCCGTACCGGGAAAGGCTCCGCCCCCTCCTGGATCACAAACCCTTCGATAACATGCGTCAGGATTTGGGGTTTCACAATGGCCTGTGGCGGTTTGTTCTCACCATTCTGGGGGGCAGTGCCAGTGATGCTGGAGGCAGAGTTTCCGTTCCCTGAGGTCATGCCGGGGCTGCTGAGGTCGCTCAGTGCATGAACAATGCCCTGCCCTGGCTCTGCACAGGGGAAGAGGAGAACACAGGAAGGGAGGTCAGAACGGAGCCGGAGGCCAGCGGAGAGCACGCGGAGGCTCCAAATGGGTCTGGGCTTTTCCCATGGAGCCAACCCCCACCCTCCTACCCTCACTGAGTTATATCAGAGTGGGCACGCAGCCCGGTGTGATGGTCCCTAGTCCCCCCACCACACAGCGGCTCATCGAGCAGTGCTACTTAATTCTGCAATCGTTCAGCCCGGGGAAATTGCCTTCAAGGAATTCCGTCCTTGGCAAACATTGAATCGGTAGAAATAAGTGGCAGGCAGTCTCAGAAAGCACATCCAAGATGGCGATGAAAACCAGGACCCAAAGCTGACCTTTGTGTGGGGCTTGAGATACTGGCAGGTGGAGGGGGGGCCCACAAGGATAGAAGAGTGTTTAAAGCACCCTTCCCTGATGCACCTGGATTTTATGGGCCAGTGAAATGTCAAGAGCACTGAACATCACTAGTGGAGGGAGAGCGAAGTTGTGGACTGGGCCCAGGTAGAGACAATAATGTCAGTGCAGACTGGTTCTTATGCCTTAATGCAGGTCTGAATTCTATCTCCCCACCAAGGAAGCCACTGGGCAGAGCAGGGCTTTTTTATTGTTCCTGTGGGTCTGGTGCTGCCCATCAAGCTTCCTGCACAATTCTCAGCTCCATACGTAGAGCCTGATGCTCAGCAATGAAGATTCCCTCCTTCATCCCTCTGTGGACTGCCTCGCCTGGGCTCTCCTTCTACAAGGCCCTGCAAGTCTGCTTCTAAAACCGAGCGCCAGGTGCACATACGGTGAGCTTTAGAGCAGTGCCACCTTCTCCGCGTCACATAACATCTCTCATGGGAGGCCCCGGTGCCTTTGGTGACCCCCACCCTCTTCCCTCGGTCATTTTCTACCACCACCAACCGCCTAGTGGGCTGAGGTTGCCTGTAACCTGGAACTCCCTGAAAAAGAAAAAAACCATTTCTTTATTGCAAGAAGCATCGACAAGAGCAGAGAATGTGACACCATAGACACACACACATCTGTGCATATTAAATTACTTGTTACTTAAGTTCACTTCTGCCCAGTGATTTTACATGAATATGCTCTTATTTCACACATCAAAGACCCAAAATACCACCATGACTAAGAGGGTGAGATAAAAAGCAGTGCTACAATTCACAGGGATCTTCAGAGAACGTATCAAAACGTGAAAGTGCTGCTTCTCTACGTACGTATGTCTATGCACTTTGAAGGCAACGTCTCTCTCTTTTTTTTCTGTGGATTTTTTCTTTTTCCATTTGTACCACGTCAAAATGGCAGTTTTGGCATCGGACACCCAAACTATGTTCCTTTTAAATTCAGAGTTTGGGAACAAAGAGAAGGCTGAAGGGAGAGGATGAGGGCTATCAGGTGGATGGGGTCAGATTTCCCGACAAAGTCCTCTTAGGACAGCCCCCGTGACCCTGAAGAAGGTTGGGGAGGAAAAGCTCTCCTTGGAGCGGCTTTCCGGGCGGGGCCTTTGCTCAGCAATGCAGCTTTCAGTTTTCTTAAAGCTTTCTCTAACAAGCCCCTGTGATCATGTGTCCTCTGAGAAATTCTATCATGGTTACCCTTTGAGATCCCCACAACAGTAGCCATAACTTTCCGAGCTTATCTCTCTGCCTCGAATTTTCATTGGCCCAGCTTATCTCCTCGGAAGCTATTGGTTTTTTTCCCCCCAACGCACCCCCCCAAAGAGACTAAGGCAGTTATATCAATGAGAGAACCCGTCTGCAGCCATTCATCAATTGATTGCATACACATGTTTAAACATGTTTGGAATAAATGCTCGGCCTGCCTGAAATTTGATTAAGTCCAAAATTTGTGGGTTTTCCAATGCTGGCTGTTTTTCCTTAATAAATGAGCCCAGTAGGACTGCTGGTTAGCCTAATGAACGGAGGGTTACAGAATCACTCGACTGGAAAGTCTAGTCCAGCCCCTATTCAGTGCTGAACCTTCTGTACCAAACTGCCACTCAACGATTCTCTGCCTGGGTTGGAATGCATCTCGTGACAAAGGTACCCACCAGGTTCGAGTCCTGAAGTAGTGTGCTTCCGCATTGGGCAGCTCAAATAAACAAAAAAATTCTTCCTGAGAATGAGTCAAAAATCGATCTCTTAATTTCTTGCCCACTTGCCTAACTTTGTTAACTAAACACCCACGGACAAGCTTAAATCAGATTGGTAGAATGGTCAAAACACAGGCTTAGACCTGGCTTCCACCACTCAGTGAACTTGGGCAGGCCTGTTTCACTGGTTCTACACACGGTATTAGCAATACTTACCTGAGAGTGCTTGCTGCGGTGCGGACTAAATGAGACCCGACACAGCAGTGCAGGGCTAGCACACTAGGGAGTGCTCCAGAAAAGCCCAGATGCTGTTGTGTGGTCTCATGAGAGATCACGAATAGCCCCAATACATCTCCAGGCCAAATCCCCCCTCTGCTCTTTCAACAATCTCTGACATTAGAGGGCTGCAGTTAATGATCTTCCTAGGTTTCTTTTAAAGTCAGCACTGGTACTGGTGGTACCCAGTGGGTACTACTAAACACTACTGAGTATAGGCAACCGAGAGACCTGGCTTTGTCTTTGGCTCAAGCAGCATCACACTGTAAGCACAGGCAGAAGGGACTAGAGACTCTCTTACTTGAGTTTCTAACATTGAGTTTTATAACACTTCTATGGTATAAAGTCATTCTCCTGAAATCTGGGATCATCCTACCTCCCACCGATGTTCACTGTCTCCTTTTATGGAAGTTCTGCTCTCTTCTGCTCTGCTTCACTCCTTCCACTCCCCCTCCCTCCTGTCTCTCAGATCCATGCCTATTATTTGATGCCGCAAGTCGGGATACTTCTTGAGGTCAGTCTTTCCCCTCAAAAAACACTACTCAACAGCCACGTCTGCTAAACTCAGCGGCTGCACAGCCAGGGCTTAACTCTGGGAAGCAGAAAAGCTCAAAATAGAGTATTCAGAGTTAGGTCTAATTAACAAACGATTTCACCAACATTAGAAATCATTACTCTCCAGTGCAACTTGGCCCGTAACAGGAGAGAGAAAACTTATGGGAGTAATAAGAGAATCAATCCAAGGGGAAGCAGGGAGTGTTTTCTGGAAATAGGAAGGTTCACAGTTATTTGGCTTGGCAGTTGTCTCCTCGGGCAATGCCTGATCATTTGTTTTGGGCTATTTCCCAAATGACCAAACACCACCTCCTCACCCCCTGCCAAGCTCCGCACGTGGAGACTGCTCTGTGTTCCATTCTACCGAGTGCTCTGCAACCTGTGTGCGGGGAAGGGAGCAGAATAATGGTGAAACTCGGCCGGAGGCCAGGTAAAAAGAAACAAAGACATTCTCTTTGGGATTCCTTTCTCTGCTCAGCTTTCCAGATCTGTCCTAGGCTGTAAGTACTACTGGGGATGGATTCCCACAGGTCTCAAATGCCATTATTCCAGAGAAAGGCCGGGGAGGGAGCACAGCCAAGCATCAGGTGGTGGGTGCACAGCTGGTAGGAGGTAGGATCCAACTTTCAATCAGGGGTTTGAACTGGTTCAGCCCCCTGCTGAGAAGTCACACACACACACACACACACTTACTTTAAGGAGCTCTCTAGGTGAATCTTATGTATGCCGAGTACATAGGAAGACATAATAATCACCTATGGGCCTGGTTAAAATGCTGATTTTGATTCAATATGTCTGGGTTCTCTCTCCTGAGTGGGTGTCAAACCCAAATAAAGTGGTTTGAAGCCTTGTCTTTACCTGATGCTGACTACAAAGGGCCAGGTATTCAGAATATACATCCCAAGTCTGGCCTCAGTCAGTGGACCTGGCAGAAAAAGCACCCTACAGGAGCAGGACAAAATACTCAGGACCACTCAGTGCCCTTCTATGGTGCCATTTGTGAAGTTATTTGCTTCAGGTAAGCAGACCAGGGTTTACGCCTCAGTCACTTGGGCACTCGGGGACTAAGCTCATGCCTACCGTGGGCAGATTTGAACAATTTGCTAGAGTGGAAGATCTGGAAACCTAGGTTTCCGACCTTGACCGCTGAGATAGAGTACAGGTCTTCCTCGGTTCGAAACAAGGAAGGTGGCACCAACTGAGTCCCCCAAATGCCTTGCTGGGGCCCTGCCCACCATCTGAGAGCTGCTAGGCCACAGCCTGGCCCAGGGAGCAGCACACGTGAGTGTCTGGCTGTGACGAAGAACAAGAACTAGGTTTGGCTGATTTCTTCCTTTGATCAGGGAGGTTTGCTCAGCAGAGGAGAATGTCCCCTGCACCCACAACTCCAGATTCCCTGGCCCCTCCATAGCCTTTCTGTTGGCTGCAGGCCCTTGGAAGGACATGGTGACCTCTAGAGGCAGAGGCAAGGGGTCTCTGCACAGGGTGAGCCCGTCCTCAGGACCAGCGGGTAGCCCTCCAGAGAGGCCGAGTAACAGCCTGCTGAGGGCAGAGGCAAGCCTGGTCCCAACTGTGCACCATCAGGCCACTTCAGAAGCCACTGACCACCTGACAAACCTCAGTTATACTGGGACTCGATTTAGTAAGAACACTTGTAAGGGGCATGCAGATGGACTGGCCAGTCATTCTGTTTGTCCCGACTGCAGAGGAATGGAAAGTCAGCAGCACTTCTCTTTCTAGCTGCTCAGCTGGACGCAAGGTCCATTTCCAGTGGAATGGGAAAGGTGCTCAGTGGTGCAGGCGGTACTGGGCGCTACTTGAAGGATGGAGGTTCAAACCCACCCAGCAGCTTCAAGGGGCATGGCCCAGGTGAACTGCTCCATAAGGTTCCAATCAAGAAATCTGTATGGAGCAATTCTGCTCTGAACCACAGTGGGTGTGGAAGTAGGGCTGGGCAGCAAACAGCAGCATGGACCAGAGAAGGGAGTATTCTCCCTGTTTATAAGCCTTCTTGCCATGCCCCACCAGTCCCTCCTTTGGCTGCAGTAAGGCAGAGACAA